ACTCAGCTTTGTAAGTTTCTGAAATCGAACCCAGAGATTGGACTTCGATTGCTCCGTACCGACACATGGTCCGCTATCACTCTCAGCAGATAAGCAGACCTTCGGATTCTGGAAACCATCGATACGTCTCGAAGCTCCAGCTCTCTACCTAAATGGGACTTTCCGAAAATTAGGGTACCTTATTTCGGAGTCCTTATAAGGATCCTACTATTTAGGGTACTACATTAGGGTCCCCTATTTTCGGAAACTCCTAAATCCTGCCATCTCCAGCATCCCTGTCGGGTCTGTGCCGGCAAAGGCCTGGAGATCCCAGTTCGTGCCTCCGACTACAGACGACCCTGCACTATAATGTAGTATGATGCTGCATATTCTATATTACTATGTATAACATATACATCATATGATCCTTGACTAAAGTTCAGCCCCTTGTGGCATTACTTGGACTCGAAGCACAACGAAGTGGGTCTCAGAGGTGTGTCTTCTTCGGCGGGCTCCAAGATTGCGTAGCTGTAACACTTGCGGCCGGATGGCCGTCAGGGCTGTAATGCACAGGCACAGCAGCGGCCCGGGCCCCAACCACAGGAGCAGGGACGAAGACTCTCGGAGGCGGAGTCACCTCCTTTGGCTCGGTGAGGTGTCCCGTTGACCTGTACACTGGTGTCGCCACGCCTCGCACCTGCAGACCAAAACCAAGCAACGTGTTGCAGGGGCAGCAAAAGAACAAAGCTCGAAGAGAGACAAGTGTATAACCTTGTGGACCAAACGAACCCGAGGCAAACCTCCATGTCGAAAAAGGGCGACTGCCGAGCTCTACCATGAGAGTGTCAACAGCCATCAGCCCAAACCCTTAAGGCCGATTTCCTTCCCTAAACCCACCTGCGTCGGTGGCACTGCTGGACGAACGATCCGAGCAGACCCCGCGGAGGCGAGGCGCAAAGAGACATGTCCTCTCTATCTCTGCTTCCGTCTGTGAATGTTATGGATCCAGAGGCTCAGGCGGTGGCAGCGCAGGGTTTAGAGTAGAATTGCAGGGAATTCTTGACTTGGGGTGCAGTGTCTGGAGTTTCATTTCGTAGGGATGTCTCATATGAGTCGGAACACTGAAGTCTACAGAAAACGAAGGCCGGATGTACGAAAACAAGCTCTGGACCATAACCGTCTGGTAGAGGCGATCTCCGGAGATCTATGCACCACTTGGGGTCTGCTTCGGGGGGGCTGGCGTGAGGTGCCACATGGCTACCTAGCCTGAAGTGGCGTTGCCTGAGAGTCTCAGACAATAGTCAGCGGCCCCGGCCTGAAGAACCAAACCAGAACAAGATCACTCCTATATAAGATCCCGCAGATACAAGACCCCAACTGATCTTCGGAACACCGAAAAAATAAACATGCTCTCAAAAGGGACGACCTGCTGGAGCGCCAGCCGACTGGCCGGGCAAGGAATGCCTTGGCTTCTTGGGGCTCTGTGGGGTTCAAGCCTCAGGACAGAACCTCTCCAACCCAAAAACACATCGAGCACCGGCTTAGAATGATCCGGATCTGCTGTAGCCATCAATGGGATCTCCAGGTCTAGGCACCCCCCCGCCTAAACGCCATGATGAGACCTAGCCCAGCACATGGACAAGAATGACTACGTCCCCAACCCCTTCCCTGTGCCCCCACCTGGGGCGCACAGCCACCGGGATTGTATAGGAAGAGCCCCTGCGCGGCGCTGACTGGATCACGCCGTGGCTGAGGCGATAGACCTTGGAACGATGCATGGGGAGAGTGTATAGAGGAGCTCAAGCAGAAATGGAGAGTTCAGCAGTTCAGGAGCCCGCACTGCCCCCACGCCCCGGAGATCTAAACGAGTGGAGCCAAGCCGCCTGCGTTTGCGCCAGTGGCACGCTCGCGTGTCCCTCACGGTGAGGTGTCACGGACCTGCCTGCAATCTGCGTCATCACCACGGGCGTGTACCTGAAGCGAGCAGGTAGTGTGCGATGGAACCTGCTTGGATCCAGCTTTGCAAGGTCGAGGCTGTATTCCACTGGAGTGAAAGTGCCACTGGTGATGGTTCGGCCGGGTTAAACCTTAAGCTGTTGGAGCCTTGAAGTATCGAGATCATCTTTGGGATTAGAATCCATCATCCTCTCTTCAAAAACGAAATCTCCTCAATTCCAGTTTCATTGCAGTTCTGGCTGCTTGAATAAAAAGATCAATTGGAACCAAACCCCCTTGAGCCCCAAGACCTTTACACAAAGCCCAAGGCCCAGCCCTCTGACCCCAGGTTTGCCGTGCCTTGCAAAGGTCCTAGGCCCCTCTGTCTCTGCAGAAGCGCCCAGCTTTGCCTCCGGCTTCTAGCACTCACAGTTACAGTGACAGCGTGTGGCTCAAGGTTTAGTTTCAGGTCTCGGGCATCCGCGTTGTGGCGGATAGTTTCGGGTCTCGAGGCATGTGGCCAAAGGCACGGTTTCAATGGGTTCTCGGGTTTACAGCTCTCGTAGACTGCACCATCCCACTCTGTCTACAGTCTGCGTCTTTGCGCTGGGACCCTACACACAAACTCCCTAAGCCCGAAACTCTGCTCCCGTGCGGGGTAAGGGCTTTGAAAAAAACAAGGCTTAGTCACCTCCATGTGCACAGCCGTCTCGCTGTCGAGCGCAGGGGCGCTTTGAACCTGCAGGGAGGCCAGGACAGTAGAGTGACATGGATAGTTGCTTGAGTGTGTCCTTAAGCGAGCAGTTCGTTCAAGTCTAGCTCTACTTTCTAAAAACCCCATACCGAAGGCAGCCGCCATAAATCGTACACCCTAAGCTCTCTAAGCTCTCTTCACTCTTCTCCCCTCCTCAAGGTCTGCAGCGGGCACGAGGATGATCGGTTCGGCCTCGCGCTGCGTTGACTCCAGAGCCACCTCCTGCACTTCCGCTTGAGTGTTTGGAGGTTGCGGAGGTGGAGGTTTCAGGGTTTGGTGCTTTCGATGGCTTAGGGTTAGGGGCAATGATGGCACCCTTAAGCCATGGCCCGAAACCCAATACCCAGAGGCCCTCCTTGAGTCCCACAGTCGGAGGCGTCGGAGTCGTCAGCTCGGCGCCGACCTGGGCGACCTCACCGGTCACCTCCAGATTTCCAAGATCTTTGGTTGGGGTTCTTTGGAGAAGGTCTTTTGGTCGTTAGGGCTCAGGGAGTGTTTGGGCTTTAGTGAGTTCTGGGAGTTTAAGGGCTCAGGGTTTCAGGGTCTCTCAGGCTGGCTGCCATGTCATGCTGCCTGCGTCTCTGTCTCAGGCTTTGCCTCGTCGGCTTTGGCCGAAGCCCGACCCACCTCGGCCACCTGCGGGTTGAAGGCTTATGGATTTGCAAGAAGCGGCCCAAAAGGCTGAGAAGAAGCTGGTGACCGGAGATTGAAAGCTTCGCAGTTTGGCCATCATGTGTAAGGACATTCACTGTTCGTTCCACTCACCAACTCTCTCTCTCCCTCTCTCTGTCTCGCTCGCTCTCTCTCTCTCTCTCTCTCTCTCTCTCTCTCTCGCTCTCTGTCTGTCTCTGTGTCTCTCTCTCTCTCTCGCCCTCTCTCTCTCTCTCTCTCTCTCTCTCTCTCCCTCTCTCCCTCCCTCCCCCGCACAAACACCCCCACACACACACACACACGAAAAAACAACTACGTGCTCAGAATTTCGATTTGACCCAATCTGTGCCTCGAACTGAACCACAATAACCCCATGTAGCGACAAACCCCAAAGATGAAAAAACAACGAAGCATCTTCTATAGTTCTAGTTGCATCCGAAAGCCTCAAGTTCCTCTTCAATCTAACATTGTAATGATTGCAATGTACGACGACGACGACGACGACAACAACAACAACAACCATGACATGGCAGCTTTGGTCCTATCTTCGTTTCTATGCATCAGCATCTCTGTGTTCATCATCAGATTCATATGATCATGATTAATGCACCTTGCACTTCAGAATGACGGTGCACCTAGCCCTCACCAGCCCCAGCGTTGAGGGTCCACGAATGAGCCTGAGACATGAAGCGTAAAACCTGAGAGTCGCGGCCATGGAAAAATTAATTCCTTCTAGAGCCCCAGATGTGAGCTCTGCGACTTAGAGTCGCCAACTTAACCACAGCAGACGCAACTCCACCGCTGCCTTGCTCAGAAGCAGCGCCGGAAGGTTCTGGGAAATGTGGGAGCTCTTGTCCTCCGACGCGGCACCGCGGCGAAGGCGCAGCCGGCAAAGCGCCAGCATCATCCCCCCGAGGAGCCTCGAGGAGGCGCTTGCGATGCCAAAGCTTGGGGAGTTGGGAGCTTCGAGTTGTGTTGGGTGGCTCTTTCAGGAAAGGGGGGTTAGAAAGAGGCCTTCGGTGACAACCCACTGCATGCGCAAAGTTTTGATGCGGCTTTGGCATTTCTTCTGTGCCGGGTTGAGGTTGTAAAGAAGGCTTGAGGTGCAGGGTTCGTGCCTCAGTGCAAAGTGCATCACGCCGGACTGCTGCTGCTGCTGCTGCTGCTGCTGCTGGTGCCACTCTGTAGCTCAATAGCCCAAGACCTACCCGTGGAAACCTATCCATATTGCATATACCGAAGACAGGTCCCCTACATACGCACATGTGTGACGTGCTTGTCATGTCTTGTAACATCTACGCGCGCAACTGAGCCTTTCCAACCCACTCCCGGTCCCTGGACCGCCAGATCTGTCCCCATCCAAGGATCAGCCCTCTCGGGCGGCGCAGGATCAGCCGGAAAAGAAAGGAGCCCAACTTCCCCACCTGGAAAAAGCTACAGAGGTCAATAAGTTTCTTCAATAGTTTCTCTGGCCTTGGGCTTGTTTATTTTGCAAGCGACAGTCTGTCTCTGATGTGCAATAATTTGAGGGGGGGACACAGTTTGGTTCACGGTTTCCGGCGCTCCAGTTTCCTGCGCTTTCTTGGGCTTGCGGCTGCCGGGACTTCTGTGCAGATGTCGAGCTAGAAGTCTGCCAAGACCAGAGTCTCGATAGCGGGACGTTGGCCCAGATTCAGGTTCGCAAACGCGGAAGGACTCAACCCGGAGCCGCCGCACCGAACAATGTCCATCAAAACAGAAGGAGCTCAAAGAGAAGCCCAAGCGAGAAAACACCTTGATTGCTCTGAAACCACCAAACCCTGAACAAGAAAACTACCAAGCTTTCTAATCCAACCCTGAACCCAGCAACCCTGAGTCACGGGACTCTCCGCTGCTCCCGGCCTGCAGCGTCGCCAAGCTCCCAAGGGCCAAGCTCAGGCCGACGAGGAGCGCATGCAGGGCGCCGTCGCGAAACCACCTGCAAGCAAGCAGCAGGGGTTGAGAGGTTTGAAGCCTTGATGTCTTGGGGGTCTGCAGGGGTGCAAGTAGTGGGCCGAAAGAAAGCCTTGGCTTTGGAAGACTTGCTTAGAGGGTTTAGGCCATTCAGGGCTTCGGGTTGGGGCGTGCCTGGCGGGTTGGAGAAGCTCCAGGCAAAGCTGCTTCTTGGGCCCACGAGTTGCCAGGCAGCACTCCAGGACCTGGCTTTTAAAACAGCTTTCAGGGCTTGGGTCTAGGGGTTTAGGGTTTGGGGTTTTGAGTTTAGGGTTTAGGGGTTTAGGGTTAGGGTTTAGGTCAACCTTAGGTTCTCTAGGCTATAGTCGGCCAAAGGGCCCCAAGGGCTCAGCTCAAGGCTCCTTTTCAGACTTTGAGGGGAGTGTTTGTTTTAGCCGTCAAAGCCTCGGGTTCTGCAAGAGTCTCGGGACGTCAGGGGCAAGAGCCTTGAGCGGACTCAGGTGGGTAAGCTCTGACAGTTGAGGGATCTGTAGTTTACGGAGAGAAAGCAGTTGTTAAGATAAAGGGCTGCAGCTGCTGGAGTTTGGGACTGATATTTGCTTTACTACGGCTTTGGACTTGGGCCTTGCGGCTTGAGACATCCTCAGAAACCGGCCGTTGGGGCCTCCTTCCCTTGCACGGAAACCATATGCGCGGCCGTGGCGGCCACGAGGACGTTGATGAAGTGGCCCAGCGATGACCTCCAGTGCCATGGACAATGGAGGCTGGAGTCTGGCTAGAGGGCTCGCGCATAGGTTTCAGAGCTGGGAGGCTTTAGTATGTCCAAGCAAACCCCGATCGTTTCCCATGCTCATGCACAACAATCGCTTCGCCCAACATCCTCGCTTCCAACCGGCCAACCCCCCAATCCCAGGCTGCAGCTCAAAATGATCCCAGAGACCTGAAGGCCGAAGTCCCGAACACCCTCTGAGTCCGACCTTCAGTGATTACAAGGTTGGACTTGGTGTCTCATACGGCTTTGGTTAGCATTTCACATGATAGCCGATAGCCCTTCGTAGATCTTGGCACGACAGCGTAGCAAGGACTCACGTCAAGGAAGCTTCCATCCTGGGCCCCACCTTGCCCGAAGCGGGTTCAGGGCCGTGACCATCGCGTGCACTTGGTTTCGAGCTGCCCCGTAGAGGGCATCCTGGAAAAGCCTCGGCAGGGAAAGAAATGCCAACAAGAAGGACACCAGCGGCCAGAGTGCCGGTCCTTGCGATATATAGTAGGGGAGTTTTGCTTCGTGCTCAGACTCTGGATCTGGAAACTACAATGACCAGTCAGTACTGTTGGCGTTGCTCTCTGGCTTGAATGCTTTTCGATTGCTATGTCTGAGACTGCCTACACAAAAAATGATAATGACGGTGGCAGTGTTGGTGGCGATAGCGACAAGGCGACTGCGCTGACGATGGATGTGGCAATGATGAATGCTGATGATGCTGCTGCTGAGGAGAGAGGCGAGAGAGGAGGAGGAGGTAGAGGATGCTAATTGCATGACGACCACGACGACGACGACGACGATGTAGAAGATGCCTGTATTCCACGTTTTGTCATTACTCAGTGCCTGGGTTTTTGATTGCCATTGCTGCTCTTGCTGTAATCGTCACTACGACGGTTACAAGTCCACACGGTTGAAAATTGGCCAGGCTCTGTGCGGTTATACAAGGAGCCAGAAAATGGTCGGTCATGAGGTGTCATGAAATAACCGACTGCGAATTCCACGAATTCTCAAGCATACCTTAGCCGCGAGGGAGGATGCAAAGCTTTGGGCTTTGGGTGAGGTTGCAGGGTCACGTGTCCCTGATGATGCTACTGTCAAGGGTATTGCTTGGCTTGAGACGTACAAATTGTCGCTCTGACGCAAATGTGCACGGTTTGTGCCTTTCTCCTTCATTGCCCTTGCTCGCAGGCATTGTAAGAAGTGACATCTGGCCTGGGGTTCTGGGAGACTCAGGGGATGTATGGCACTGTGGAGGGCACCGCGTGAAGGAAGGAGAGCGATTGAACACAATGTAGGAAACCCTACACAGGCAGAGCAGTTTCCAAACGGCACATCAACATGACATAACAGCGTTTTGCAGAAATTAGTCCGTTTCGTCAGGCAGCAAAGCCCGGTCCAAGTGCACTAGCGAAGCCTCACGCAGGGGAGAGTTCCTACTACAGAGGAGTTTAGCAAGTGAACTGGGGGCGTCGGGGGGTGGGTTGCTTAATCCTAGCTCAATCCCATACGAGTACTAATAAGTGAAAGCATGATTTTGACCCTATGCTTATCCACTGTTCATCCTGATGTAATCCCGAGCCTTGCTTCAAGTGACTGTGACATGTCCTGGCTTGGATTTTTCCGCACTGTTGTGCCGCACCCATGAGTCGGAATTGTGCTGTTTAGGGTTTAACAAAGCTTAGACCGGGCTGATCCTACCAAATCCAAGACTCGCCTCGAGTTCTGTTCCTTCGTAATCCGACGCTCATCCTAGGATAACCCGAGGCGAATCCTTTGCAAACATCCTGCACTAATCCAGCCGACCCGGACAGCGAAACAGCGGACACAGACAACGAGAATTAGTCACTTCAGTGAGAAGGGAAAGAATGTAAAACAGAATAGGCTGCTGTGGTGGACTATGGTGAAACACCGGGTAGGGTTGGATTAGTGCAGGGATAGCCTGGGACTACAAGGCTGGATCAGTGCAGGATTAGCCTCGGATTAATGAAGGATTAGCCTAGGATTGGGCGGGGATTAGCCTAGGATTAGCTCGGATTAGCTTAGGATTAATTACGGTGAAGCACCAAGAAGGGTTGGACGAGTGCAGGATGGGTTGGGATTAATTTGGGATAAGCGTAGGATAGGCCTAGGATTACAGTGAAACACCAAGAAGGGCTGGATTAGTGCAGAATCAGCTTCGGATTAGTCTAATTAGGATGCAGGGGTAGCTCGAACAAAATCATAACCTGTGGCTATGCTGCAACAATCCTCTGCCTATCCTCGACGCGATTAGTCCCGCGAGTGCCTCGGTGCTGTGCGCGGCGAGGGCCGATGCCAGAGCTCCGGCTGCCGCCCCGCGCAGCGAGCGGGGAAGCCTCGGACTTGTCAGAAGTTTCAAAAGGCCAGATCTTCAGGGCCTGCATGGGCTTTATATTCAGCTATACAATTCAAACAGTTTAAAGTTTAGGTCTGGGGTTTAGCGCGTTAGGGTTAATTAGTTTGGGAATTTTGGTTGAAGCTTTCGGGCTTAGGGCTCGGGGCTTTACGGTTTTAGGGTTAACGTGTCCATAAGGATGTCGCAAGGGCTTTGAGGCTTTAGCGGATCAGATCCGATCGGCTGCGGTGTTCTAGAGTGTAAGGCGTTGGCCGCCTGAATAACTCGGCGATCATCTCCTCTTGTCGTCTATGTAGAAGTATATACCATAAAAATACCCAACACTCCTGGCCTATTTGAGTCTAGTTGCTACTGCACGGAACAAGGCGCGGGGCTGTTTTCACACCCCGAACAGGCTCCTCATGCTCACTTTCCTGCCGGGTGTCTTTTTTCGCGCTCTGTTTAGATCCTCAGGGTTTGGGGGTCTAGAGTCTGGGGCAGAAGGAAGAAAGGAATCTTTATGGGTTTGGGGGTCTAAAGCCGAAGGAACATAAGAATCTTTAAGGAGGCAAAAGAGTCAGGGGCAGAAGGAACAAAAGAATTTTTCAGGGCACAAAACACTACCTAACCGGCCATACAGGGTTTTTCACGCCCAGGGTTTTGGGGTCTATGGTCGAAGGAACAAAAGAATCTTTGAGGAGGCAAAAAACAACCTAACCGGCCGTACAAAGTTTTTTTCGCGCCCTCGGCTTGGGGGTGCAAGGCCGAAGGAGCACAAGAATAAAGAGACGTAAGACAGAGAGACAAAGAGACGGAGAGACAGAAAAACAGAGACACAGAAGTACCGGGAAAGAAAGAGAGGGTGACAGAGGGAAAGACACACAGAGAGCGAAAGAGACAGAGAGAGGGAAAGAGACAGAACGAGAGACAGAGGGAAACCAAGAGGGACGGGGGAACGCAGAGGTGAGAGAAAGAAGACAAAGAGGAACAGAGAAAGAGAGAATGAGAGACAGAGACAGAGACAGAGAAACAGAGCGACAGACAGACAGAGTGACGGAGAGGCAGAGAAACAGAGAGACAGGAAGAGAGGAAGAAAAAGAAGAGGGCAGGGAAGCGGAGAAGAAAGCAGGAAAAGGGAGAGTAAAGGAAGCGAGACACAGCCACGAAGGGCAGCGAAAGGACTGGAAGGGCAAGGAAAAGAAGGGAAAGGAGCAAACCACTCGAAAGGAACAAGAGAAGTTGAGAACAAGGAGCGAACCGCTCGAGAGAGACCAAAGAAGTTGAGAAAAGGGAGCCAACCGCTCGACAGATATTTTGAAACAAAGAACAAAGGAACAAACTGCTCCAAAAATTAGAGGGTTTGAGAGAAAATAACAAACCTAGTACAATGAGAACAGGGAGCAAACCGTTCGAAAAAGACTAGAGGCTTTGAGAACAAGGAGCGCTCGAAAGGGACAGAAGCCAAAGCAATCCGCGAAAGAGACTAGAGAATTTTAGAAGAAGGAGCAAGCCGCTCGAAAGAGATTGGGGAATTTCGAAAAGGAACCATAGAATTTCAGCAGAAGGAGCCAACCGCTCGAAGGAGACTATAGAAAATTTCCAAAGAGACTAGAGAACTTGAAAACAGGGAGCACACCGCTCGAAAGGAACTAGAGAATTTCAGAAAAAGGAACCGCTCGAAAGAGACCAGAAACTTTGAGAACAAGGAGCAAAGCGCTCGGAGGGAACTAGAGAATTGCAGAAGAAGGCGCAAACCGCTCGAAAGAGACTGAGAATTTCGAAAGAGACTAGAGAATTAGAATACAAGGAGCAAGCCGCTCGAGAGGAACTA